CAGCTTCTCTGTGCCTCTCTTATGACAAGTATCACACCCTTCCTTTTGTAGGAACTCTTTATGTTGCCTCTTAACATAATGTCCGTGAGCAGAGCTGCCCAAATCATGGTTCCTGGTCCAGCAGAACCAGCATCACATGGGAGTACATTAGAGGGGTGGATTAGCAGTCCCAGAATCAGAATCGGGCCGCTGAACCAGGAGCTCGGGGTGGGGCCAGCAAGTGTCTTGGTCAGTCAGTCGGGGTTCCCATACATGTTCAAGTTTGGGAAGCAATTTCCTTGAGGATGTGACTTGTGTCTTAGGCACCAGATTTACCTGCAGAGCTGAGCATGACACCTGTACAGAGCAGAGCACATAGGGGGATTCAGCAAATGTGTTTTCGGTGACTAAACAGAGCCTCTGAGTGTAAGAGACCACACACATTCACCACACTTCTGTCACAGCTCCTGTGTTATCTGCTTCTGTTGCTTAAGACAGAACACCTGAAACTGGGTAGCTTATGAAGAAATGAAATTTTTTTCTTACAGTTTTGGAGGCTGGGAAGTCCAAGGTCCAGGGGCACATCTGGTGAGGACCTTCCTCTGGGTGGGAGCTCTCTACGGGGTCCTGTGGTGACGCAAGGTGTCACATGGTGAGAGAATGGGCAAAGCTCTCTCATGTGCTTCTTGTAAAGCCCCCAGTCCACACCCATAACTCATTGCTCTATGAATAGACTCATTCATCCACAAGGGCACAGTCCTCATGATCCAATCACCTCTCAAAGGCTCCACCTTTCAAATATTGTAATTGGATTTTCCACCCCCTTCACACTTTCAGTGGGGATCAAGTTTCCAACACATGAACTTTCGGGGGACCCATTTGACCCACAGCAGCAACTCCATGAGGATTTGACATCTTCACCCCATCTTATAAATGGAAAGACTGAGGCTTAGAGAAGTTAAGCTTCCTGCTGAGGACCACATAGCTAACAAGTGTTGGAGAAGAGATTTGAAGCTGGCCTGGGAAGTGCCACCTCTGAGAGTTGTCATCAGAATTAATCTAACGTTTGCTAAAGCAGTTGTTGAGATGTGTCAGTTTTCTGAGTCTTCTGGTCTATACAGTGATCTATTTTTCCTAACTCAATTTGCCACAGAGCCCTCGGAGGGTGCAAGGCACAGTCCTGCCTGCTTGGAGTCAGGGAGGCGAGGGCTGGCGATGGTGCCCAGCAAAGATGCAGAAGGTATTGCACCCATGAGGTGCTGCACAGTCAGTGCAGAGCATGACACAGAGATGGCTCTTTGGCTTTGGGCAAGTCAGTTCTCTCCGGGCTTTAGCTTGCTCACCTGTAAAGTTAAGGGGATTGGACTAAACAAACAAGCAAATGCTACAACCCCCGTGAGTTACAAAAACTTATGACTCTGTCACTCTAGGTCCCAGGAGGGCAGAGCAGGTGCACTAGATCAGCAAGGGATGCAAGCCTGAGATTTCCTAGAAAGGGGCACTGAATAACCCCAGGGGCAGCTCACCTGGCTCTTTAGCTCCTTGAATTGGGAGAAGCCACACGCTGTGCACGAGGCTGGTTTCCAAGTCGCTGCTTTTCCCTCTTGCCTAGGCCACGGGAACTTCCCTTACCTCTGCGGGAACCTGAGTGACGTTGTTGTCAGCCCCCTGCTATACACGTGCTACCAGAACTCCCAGTCCATCTCCAGAGCCTACGAACAGCACGGCGCCTCTTCCGTGCAGCCCATTTCGGAGGAGATGCAGCTTCTGCTCACTGTCTACTACCTTGTACAGCTGGGTGAGCTCCCTGCATGCCCAGGGTCCCTGGGGAACAGTCACCAAAGGGGGGAAATGCTGCGGGCCTTGATCACCCACCCCACACAGGCTCTTGTGTGGACCATGTGTGGCTGCTGGGGCATGGGCTGTCTGTCGTCTAGTGAGGGTGGTGGTGGCTCGGACCATTTCGGGTCTCAGGAGCAGATGCAGGGTGTACCCCAAGGATAAGGGTGGTGGAAATCAGCTTGCGGCAGGTGAGGGGATGTTGGGCTTGGTCTGAGCCTGAACACTCAGGGGGACAGTGGGGTGAGTCAGAGTTCTGTTTGGGCAGTTTCCACTTTGAGATGCCGTGAGACAGCCAGTGGCCTGTGCCATTTGAATGGATAGGTCTTGAGCCCCAGGAGAGTTGAAGCTACAGGTGTGAATCTGGCAAACATGGGCTTAGAGATGATGCATGTTAAAGTGGTGAGAACGGCCTGGGTAACCTGCGAGAGGTTATGGGTAGAGGAAAGTGCTGAGGGTTGAGCCCTGGGATACTCCAACATTCAGAGATGTGGAGGCTGAGACTGGGATGGGGCAGGTAGGAAGGAAAGGACAGGGGAGAGTGCGGGAAGCACGTTGTCCCGTCCCTCTCACGGTGTATGTCAGTGTCAGTAAGCATGGCTCCCTCCCGAATCCTGCCTGGCCCAACCTGTGCATCACCACCCCTGCCAGGGCACTGCTCTTGCCCTGCTCCCCATATCTGCTAAAACTGTGACTCCTATTGTATCTCTTCCCTGTGCAGAGCCCTCCAGGGGGTTCCCATCACAGGCCTGTGAGCCTGAAAAACAGAGGGAGGCTCTCTAAAAGAACATGGTGTTCATTCAGGAATAGGCATTGCTGTGGGAATATGTGTGCCATAGAAAACTATGTGCTTATTCAGGGAGGTAAAGGAAGTCAAAGGGCTTTAAAGGAAAAATGATGGAGGATTACATCATTGTTTTTGGGATAATTATCCTTGGCTATAAGGATCCATAATAAGGGTGATGCCAGCTGTGGTGCCAGCCGCTCAAGCCCTGGATAATGCATTTGTTAAAATTCCATTCCTGCTGTTAGTGGCAAGGTTAGCAGTTCCCACTTCTTCCATAGAGGGGTTGGACAGGCAGTTGCTGGGTAGATGGCCTCATAGAAGTATTTTTTGTGTAAGGTTGCAATGGCTTCTGTGTAAAGTTGCAGCTTTGCAGAGTCCTTTGTGGTAGTTCTTGTTACCAGGTGTACACATATGAGACATTCCCCGCTGCCCCGCAATGGCCTTTCCCTGGCTCTGTTTGCCAGGGATTTTAATACAAGTGACTCCACTTTAATTCTGAGCCCCAAGTGACCGCCCCACCTCCCATTCTGATCTGTTCACTCTGCTCCAGCCCACTGTCCTTGAGCAATCTCGGTCCCACTTGGGCATCTTGAGCTTATGTTCCTGCCCTGTGAAATGCTCTTGCCCAGGGCATTTGCACAACTTGTGCCCTTAATGTTAACTGAATTTCGGTTCACATGTCACCTCCTTGAAGAGGCCTTATCATCATCCTATTTAAGATTATGTTCCTGCCCTGTGAAATGCTCTTGCCCAGGGCATTTGCACAACTTGTGCCCTTAATGTCAACTGAATTTTGGTTCACATGTCACCTCCTTGAAGAGGCCTTATCATCATCCTATTTAAGACAGAGCCTGTCCCCCAGGGCCCTGTGGCACTCTATCCTATTCCCTCTTAGAGCTTTTCCCTTGGAGCATGGCTACTCCCAGAAATTATATTCTGTGATTGTTCATTTTAAGTGTGTCTCCCCCAGATAGGATGTAAGCTCCATGAGACTGGGAACCTTCATCTCGTCCCCTTCAATATGTCCAACAGCATCTGCAGTGTAGAGCTGATGCTCAACATGTGTATGTAGAGAGAACGATAAATGCTGGTACAGAACGAGGGGAAAAGTGTTTCAAGGTGAGGGACTAGTGAGCTGTGTCAGCATGGCTGAGAGCTGAGTCGGGGAGAACTGGCTTCTTGACAACTGGGTTTGCCATATGGCAGCAGCTGGTACCCTTGACAGGTGATGCACGAAAAGCGTGAGGACAGAATCCACAGGGGAGTGGGTCAGAGGGAGGTGAGGAGCAAGCGTGGTGGCTGTAGACCATCCTCTTGGCAGCTTTGCTGGGTGGTGGTAGTTCTGGAAAGAGATGTGGGCTCAAGAGAAAGTTTTTCAAAATGAGAGAGATAACAGATAATGTAATCACATTCTAATTTGATGAGCTCATTCAAATTCCTATTTGACTAAATATGGAGATATATGCCAATCTAATCACATTTTGGCACAGCCCGCTGAGCAGGCGGTGCTAGCCCCATTTTACAGATGAGGAAACTGTATTAAGAGAGTTCCAGGGTACAGAATGAGTGCTGGGTAGAGCTGGGCTGGAATACTCCCTCCAGATCTGAGTCTAGCACTCTTTCCTCCGGCTCATCAAATATGAGATATGGACAAATAAACCAGACAATTCGTAAAAGAGAAAATAACCATAGCAAACAAATGTTGAAATGTATTCGATCACTCTAGCATCAAAGAGATGTAAATTAACAAATAAAAAAGTGTTTTTGTCAGTTCATAACAACCCAGATGATGGTATCCAGTGGTGCTGAGGGTGCAGTAAAACCAGCATTGTCATACGCCATCAGTGTTGTCGTAACTGACGCACAGGCCCTTTGGAAGCCAGTTGGTGATATGTATTAGTTGGCTCTGTAAACACTTTTGAGAATGTAAGCCAAGGAAGTAACGTTCTGTACATAAAGAGGTGTATTGCAGAAGTATTTATAAAGGTAAATATTTGGAAGAAATAAGAGAATCCACAGTAGAGACATTGCTAAATAAATGATGGTGCCTTCGTGTGATGAGAGATCATATACCCATTTAACAGTGCTATTTATGAGGACTATAAATGGCGTGGAAATGGGGTCATGGGGTAATGGTTAAGGAAAGAAGGCAAGACCCAAAGTTGTGTGCCCACAATCATTACAGCTGCTTATAACTTGTATATGGGGGAAAGAAGGCAGAAATACACAAAAATAGGTGTGGCTTAGAGGATGGTGAGACTGTGGCTGATTCTAGTCCTCCCCTTGTTCTCCAGCTGCGTGTGATGCTGTTTCACAGTCATAATTCAGATCGTGTTATTTCTAAGTTAGCTTATACACTTGTCCCCAGAAATGCCTGTAGAGTCATTTGTGTCCAGCCATGTGCATGGGTGCACGGGGCAGCCCTGAACCTTTCCGCCGCTGTGTTGCAGCGGCTGACCAGGTGCCACTGATGGAGGACTTGGAGCAGATCTTTCTGCGCTCCTGGCGGGAGTCTCACCTGACCGAGATCCGGCAGTACCAGCAGGTGCCACTGCAGCCCTTCCCGCCTGCACCCAGCACCGTGGTGCCCGTGACCTCAGCACAGCTGCCCTGGCTGGCTGGCCTGGCTGCCAGCTCCTGCAATGACAGCGTGCACGTCATCGAGTGCACCTACTCCCTGGCCGAGGGCCTCTCTGAGATGTTCAGGCTGCTCATTGAGGGCAAGCTCGCCAAGACCAACTACGTGGTCATCATCTGCGCCTGCCGCAATGCCGCCATAGACTCCTGCATCGCTGTCACTGGTAAGTGCGGTGCCTCGTGGCCCGTGGAAAACCAGCTGTGATTTCCCAGGCACTTTCCTTTGTGGTTCCTTCCCTCTGAGCCTTGCGTGGCCCCGGGTTTGCAGTAGCGGTTAGCACCTGTGGTTTGTGCTCAGTACCCGGCTTCAGAAGGCAGCTGTGGTGCCAGCACCTCAAGCCCTGGATAATGCGTTTAGTTAAAATTTCATTCCTGCTGTCAATGGCAAGGTTAGCAGTTCCCACTTCTTCCAGAGACAGACTGGGGTCAACTTCAGAGTCTGCAAAGATCTGGTTGAAATCCCGGCTCCACCAAGCACCTGGCATTGTGTTGGGTCACTCACACCAGGACGCTGGCCCTGTGTCTTCAATGACCTAATGGAGATAGAAAGCCCTGTGTTGTGTGGGTTAATGAGACAATTTGCTAATTAATCACAAATACACTCATTGGAGTCCTACTCTGAACAAACGTTGTTCGGGGGCCGGGGATAGGTTCTGGAGTGCACATTCTGGTAGGGAAGGGGGACAACAAACACACACGCTTTTTTGGCCTCTTTTGAAAATGACACCTCAGGTGTTATGTATTTTCAATGTAAATTTTGTATTTTTTTGCTTAAAAATGCACATCATTACTATGGAGTGTCCCAGTTGCCTTTTGGCATTCTTTGACCCTAAACTTATTCTGTGTGTTTCATAAGTTCTTTAACTGGATTTGAATAGTAAATTCCATAATAAACCCAGAGTCTCTCCTGTGTGCCAGGCCCCATTGTCTAGTATCATCTTCCAGTGAGGCAGGTGTTGCTGTTAGTCACCATTCCAGATGAGGAAAGTGGGCCTGGAAGGGTGAAGTGACTAGTTCAGGGTCACACAGCTAGTTAGTGGAGGAATAGTCAGGTTCCAAAGCCAGAGCTCTGGGTTTTCTCTGAGTGATCTCAGCCTTTTTAGTCTCTTTTATAATCCTAACTGTTGAGCTGAGACAGGATGGTCAACAGGATTGATTCATTAACAAATATGAACACCTGCTCTTTGCCAGGCGTGGTGCTGGGCTGCGGGAGTAGGTAGAGAGACATAGAGCCTGTCACTGAGGAGCTTGTATGAAAGTTCTAAACAGAGGGGCCCATGAAAGTTGTTTGTTTTCCAGGAAAATACCAAGCCCGGATCCTCTCTGAGAGCCTCCTCACCCCAGCAGAGTACCAGAAAGAAGTCAATTATGAGCTGGTCACAGGGAAAGTGGACTCTTTGGGGGCCTTCTTCAGTTCCCTCTGTCCAGGTAGGCTTGTCATGAGACAAGTGCGTGCATGCAGAAACTGATACGACAGAAATAAGTGCAAAGGGGGAGGTCACCTCTGCCCTGCCTGGCCTGTGACCTGGGGTGGACCCTGCTGTGCCGAGGTTCCTCCATTCTGTGCATTAGCACTGACATGTCTTTCTTTTCTTTTGTGTTGGCTGTGGTTTCTGGCTGGCTGGCTCTTTGCTGTGGCTGTAGAGTTCTTCTGGCAGGGGTGCCATGTGGGTCTGTGGTCCTGTTTCTCTCTACCTTCCCAGTCTAGTTGGCCACCATGCCCAGCTCCCCCTCTGAATTGCCTGATGCCTCTTGCAGACAGTTCCTTATCCCCCGTGTTCTCTGCTGCAGGTCCCTGCCCCTTCCTTCCCTGGCTACTCGCCCTGCAAGACTCATCACATGTGCCCCTAGAAAGTGGCTTGGACCCTTGCTTCTCTGGGATGGACTTGGAACCCATCCTCTGTCCTTTAGCATCTCGTCCTCCTCCTGCCCTAGCGCCTACTGTGCTGTGGTGTAACTCACTTTAACTGTCTGCATCCTTGCTAGGTTGCGGGCGCCTTGACAGGATGGGTTACATCATCTTTATCTCCATTTCCCCAGCTTCAGGATGGGGCCAGACACATAGCAGCTGTCCCATGATTTTTGTGGAATTTCACTAAAGTGGAAAACCCATTTCTGATTATTCTCTCTGTTTTGGGCAGAGGGTGACATTGACATTTTGCTGGACAAATTTCATCAGGAAAATCAAGGTCACATTTCTTCCTCACTTACTGCCTCCTCCGTCACTAAAGGAATGTCACTGGATGTCAGTGGATCACTGGTGTGCACAAGTAAGTGCTGAGAGGGTGCTAGGTGGGGGCACAGGTGTGCATAGTGAGGGCTGAGAGGGTGGGCAGGAGCACGGGTGTGCACAGTGAGAGCTGAGTGAGGGCAGGGGCACAGGTGTGCACAGTGAGGGCTGAGGTAGGGCAGGGGCACAGGTGTGCACAGTGAGAGCTGAGTGAGGGCAGGGGCACAGGTGTGCACAGTGAGGGCTGAGGTAGGGCAGGGGCACAGGTGTGCACAGTGAGAGCTGAGTGAGGGCAGGGGCACAGGTGTGCAGTGAGAGCTGAGTGAGGGCAGGAGCACAGGTGTGCACAGTGAGAGCTGAGTGAGGGCAGGGGCACAGGTGTGCACAGTGAGGGCTGAGGTAGGGCAGGGGCACAGGTGTGCACAGTGAGAGCTGAGTGAGGGCAGGGGCACAGGTGTGCAGTGAGAGCTGAGTGAGGGCAGGAGCACAGGTGTGCACAGTGAGAGCTGAGTGAGGGCAGGGGCACAGGTGTGCAGTGAGAGCTGAGTGAGGGCAGGAGCACAGGTGTGCACAGTGAGAGCTGAGTGAGGGCAGGAGCACAGGTGTGCACAGTGAGAGCTGAGTGAGGGCAGGAGCACAGGTGTGCACAGTGAGAGCTGAGTGAGGGCAGGAGCACAGGTGTGCACAGTGAGAGCTGAGTGAGGGCAGGAGCACAGGTGTGCACAGTGAGAGCTGAGTGAGGGCAGGGGCACAGGTGTGCACAGTGAGAGCTGAGTGAGGGCAGGGGCACAGGTGTGCACAGTGAGAGCTGAGTGAGGGCAGGAGCACAGGTGTGCACAGTGAGGGCTGAGAGGAGGCAGGTGCTGATTCCAAGGGGTCAGGGAAGCCATGCTAGAGGGACATCTAAAAGACAGGGCATTTTCTCAGCATTTAAATAGTTCTGATATCTGATTTTTAGTGTGTTTCTCTATGCTGATTTCCTGCTTATAATGCCCTGTTGAAATTTTTATCCACACGAAGTTCCTGAAGCGTTATGTTAGTTCCTTCTCTTCCGGAGAACTTGCTGCTCTCTTCCCAAGTGCAATCTCAGCATCCCCTTCACTGGGATGCTGTCCTTGTCCCCTCCAGGCAGAACAGGTCACTGTCTCCTCTGTGCTTCCCTAGCACTCACACTTTTATTGCCAAATGAAGAAAGATGCATAAACCCACCCCCGTGCCTGCTGAGCACAGGCACTTGAGAATCGTGAGTTTGGCCCCTTTCCCTGATTGCCATGCACATGGGTGGTCTCCACCATAGACGAGGGCTCACTGCTTTGTTCTCTAGCCAGGACTTGCCCTCTGCTCTTGGGCTCACCTGGCATCTGGGCCCTGGTTCCAGGTTACAGTCTGGAGCCACATGGTATCCGGCCCTTCCAGTTGGCAGTGGCACAGAAGCTCCTCTCCCACGTGTGTTCGATTGCGGATTCCAGCACCCAAAACCTGGATTTGGGGTCCTTTGAGAAGGTGGACTTCCTAATTTGCATCCCACCCTCCGAGGTGACCTATCAGCAGACACTGTTCCATGTCTGGCATTCAGGTACGGGGCCCTTGTGGGGGACATGTTGTGAGGCCTGCGTGGAGAAGCTTCGATTGGCTAAGTTCATGTTTGGATGTTAATGCCAATCTTTGCTGTGGAGTAGATAGAGCAGGTGTGTTTTTGCCCCCATTGTGTTGATTGTGAAGCTCACGTTCACAGACAGTGACTTGCCCGAGACTTTAGAACCTGTTAAGGGTAGAACCAGGGACTTGAACTTTTGCTGTGTCCCAGTCAGGCCGATGGCCTATCTGTTGACATCTGGCTTCTCCTTAACGTGTTTTCCCTGTGCTTCTGGGGACTGTGCGATTCAACATGAAAGGTACAGTGAGTCAGTGTCTTAACTCAAAGGACTCACTCCTCAGTGGTAGACTGGAGGGCCCTGTGGCATTAGTGCTGAGAGAGGGTTTTGCTGGGTAGTACGACCTTTCCCTTCACTTAAGACTTATCAAGCCCGGGGTCAGCTGTTCATGAAGCCAATGTTGCCGGTTCCCCCAGCTGTAGGCAGCCTGCCTCTACTGTGCAGAGCAGTTATGTGAGGGTCATCTGTGGAGGAGTCTCCACTCCGCTGGTTCAGCCTATGCATCCCTGTAGCCTTGGGCCTAGCTCAGTGCCTGCTGTACAGGTGTCCACTGCTGACGATGTTTGGAGTTATTGATGTGTTTTTACTGTGTTGCAGGGGTTTTACTGGAGCTTGGCCTGGAAAAGGAGCACATGACCAAGCAGAGGGTAGAACAGTATGTTTTGAAGCTAGACGTGGAGGCACAGACAAAATTCAAGGCCTTTCTGCAAAACTCCTTCCAGAATCCACACACGCTCTTTGTCCTAATCCATGACCATGCCCACTGGGATCTTGTGAGGTTAGAGTGACTTGGTATCCGACAGGCTGACACTTTCCTTCTTTGAAATGATGTATATGAAGATGCTTGGGGCTGAAGGTACAAGTCTTAAAAAGATGCGGACTTGGTATTTGTAAGCAGATGGCCTTGGATGTTTTCCAGAAGTTTAAAGCTGGAAGTTATCTTAGGGATCACCTAGTGCAGCCTCTGAAATTTACCACTAAGGGCTGGAGAAGGGAGGCATCTCACTCAGTCCCAGGGCTGGGGTGGGATGGGAGGGGGTCAGGGCAGAGCTTGGCCTGGAACCGAGGCCCCTAATTGCAGACCGATGTGTTTTTTCTGTAGCCCACTTGGCAGCAAGGTGCCTACTGGTACAGGGCAGGGGGTTCTGACAGCAGGCCCTCAGCCCAGCCCCTCCCTGATGGAGGCCCCCATCATCCCCAGTACCTTGGGTCACTGCTAGTTCCTGCCCTTGTAAAATTATAAAATGGTGTTAGTAATGCCGCTTGTCTCTCCTTTTCCTCCTTTAGTAGTGCTGTTCATAACCTCTATTCTCAAAACGACCCATCCGTGGGACTGGTGGACAGATTGCTCAACTGCAGGGAGGTAAAGGAGGCGCCCAACATCGTAACCCTCCAGGTGACCTCCTTCCCATACGCGCTGCAGACACAGCACACCCTCATTAGTCCCTACAATGAGATCCACTGGCCCGCCTCCTACAGCAAGGTGAGTGCCCTGGGCTGCCGGGCTGGGATGTAGCCATGAGCTGGAGTTTGGAGAAATTATCTTTGGTCTTGACTAAGCATGGTTGGGGGTCAGTGAGTTCCAGCTCCTTGGACCTTTGATTTGACCCAGGGTTAGATTGAAACCCTTTGTGGTCTTTTTGGAAACCTTTCATCAGCTGGCTTCCCCATCTTAGAACATGACACAGGACAGTCAGTTTGACACTTTCTCCAGTGACTGAAGCTCTCTGAGCAGCATTTTGAGCATTGTTCACAGGGCACGGGGTAAAGCAGTTAAAGATAGAGCCCTTGAGGCCTGTGGAGTTTGGTCTCCATGAGGAGTGACTCTAAGTGAATCTAGAAGACTTAGAAATGTTGCTGGTTTTCCCATCCCCACATCCTTAAGCAGTGAGGTTCAAAATGTCCTTTCTCACACCAAACACACATTCTCAAAACCTGGTGAGTTTTGTTTTAGTTTATCACCTGCCATTCTCTCATCAAAATAGAGTACCAAATCAATTCTGGTAATTTGAGAAATCTGTGTGGTTAGATTCTAACTAATTACAGAAGGAATAAGTAAACTTCAAATTCTGGACTTTTTTGGAGTGCCTGACAGTCATCTGAAGAACTTTTCAAAATATGGATGCTTGGCTTCCATCCGTAGACTTGGAACCAGTGATGACGTGGCCGGTGTTTGTGTGGCACTTACCATGGCTAGCGGCCTGCTCTAAGTGCTTTATACGTAGGGACTCATGCAGGAGGCAGGTGCTAGGGCCATTTCTGATTTATGGATGGGGAAGATGACACAGAGGGGTTGGGCCGCTGACTCCACGGCCCTGGTTCTCAGCCACTGTGCAATCTGGGGGTAGAGTTTACACCTTTGTATTTTTAAGAACCTGCCCTGACTTTGCTGTCCTCTGAAGTTTGAGAAGCTCTGATGTTCAGTTGGGAGGAATTTTATGTCAATGTGAGTAAAATTGGTTAGATAGATGTGTTTTTATTCTATTGATTTTAGTGGCAAATGAATGCAAGATGATTTTCCTTTTCCTGAAACCAGCTTAAAATTGTGGAAAAAAGCAATTTCAACAAAAAGTTGTATGTTAAAAAAAAAACAAAAAAAAAAACAAGGCTGATTTTCTCCTTGGTGAAGACGTTGGGGCTGAATGAATGGAATACTCTTGACTGATGGGGATGCGCTATCCTTAAAGTAT